TGAAGAAGGAGGGGGGGGGGGGTCCAACACAGAGCTGTAGTTTCTCTTCAAGAGGCGAGGAATGCAATCTGAGCATCAATGTTTCACTGGGGCAAGTGGAAGAAGAGGATGGGAGCCAATAGTTCTTCAAAGAGACCAGTTTTCGATGAGAAGGAAGATGGTAAGTGATGGAAAAGTGAGGCGCATGTTCTCTACATAACCCTTATCACAGCTGGGTGGATTCACCTGTGTGTTTCTGTAAAGCCGGGGATGTTGGATGGAGTTGAGCTGGGAAGTTGAGGAAGTTTCTGCCAGATAGGGATTGAAATGTTGAACACTGTTGCTGTTCAGGCTGTTTGGGGGGTGCTGCTGGTGGTAGTGGGTGGGGGGGTTTCCCCTGAAAGATGTTTCCTACTTTTAACAAAGGCTGTTTTTGTGAATCCCTTTTATTGGCCTGCTTTGTGCTCACATACAGGGGATTTACATTTGCTCTCAATGTACATACACAGAATAAGCATCAATAAACCGGAGAGCAAAATCAGTAGGGCTGCACAGTTAGTGGACATATTAACCTAATGTGATCATATGCAAATAGCAGAAGCTAATTTATTTGCTAAAGGTAAAAATAAACATTATAATGAAGGACTGTAGTTCTGCAGAGATTCTCGATCTACAGATTTTAAGGAAGCATGTTTGTTTGATACAGACCCCCAAAAATGTCACATGATGATATTTTTGAAAATTAAATTTGTGATGCTCATATGTATCAATATCCGTCAAAAATAATCACAGTATGATGTGTTTACCACATCGTGCAGCCCTAATGTAGAGAACAACAGTAACATGTGTGGACAGTGAAACTACAGTGCAAAGGATGCTGAAATAAATATTTCTGTGCAGACAGTATATACTAGTGGCTCCCAACCTGGGGTACAGGACCCCCACTCGGGGACGCTAAAGCTTCATGGGTCTGTGTGATTGTTAAAAATTGTAAAGTACATAATAAAGGCAGATCATTGTGTAAAAAGTGCCCTAAACAGGAAATAATCTGCTCAGAATTCATCTAAATGTCTCTTTTACACAAACGTCTTGCAGTTATTGTTTGGGTTCAATGTACAGTTCTGAATATAATATGAAATATACATAAAATAAGTCACTAAATTATAGAAAATTGGCAAAAGGTTGTGAACCACTGGTATATACAATATGCACAGCAAGCATAGATGTGTTTTTAGTGATGATATTTATGTGTACAGACAGTGTTAGAGGCTCTGTGGCGCTAGCGGAGGGCAGGAGGTTGGAGGAGGTCGTGTTTCCGTGGTGTGCACTGATGTTTCCTGCCCCGTTATAAGTCCTGAACGGAGGGGCAGTGATCCTCTCTGCAGTCCCGGCTGTCTGAAAATGAGGGAGGCGTCGGGTAAAACTTCCTGCTAGCAGCTAATCTATCTGTCACTTTTATTATCCGTGGAGCAGAGGCGTTAATAAAAGAAGTAAAGTAACCTTAGATTTGTATTCTCATCACACCCAATAACGCCTACGTAACACTGACAGTGTTTCCACTTCAAATTACGTCCAGATAAAATGAAAGCAGAAAGAGCGTCAGAGTGGAATATCTGCTGCTCGTACTGTGAGGAAATATCAACGCCTGTATGCACTCTTTGAAGTACGCACCATTTGAAGACAGATAGTTAATTGCATAATTAGGACAAGATTAGTGTCATGCATGGAAGTAATGTTAATTCATGATCTCTTGCTGCTACTGTATCGGAAATAAGCCTCTCGGAAGTGCACCCAATAAGCTCGGCACTGAATCTCTGTGATAGACTACAGAAATCCAGTGTTGCAACATCGCCAACGTGCTGGCCAAGTTACAGGCAGAACTTGAGTAAATGAGGTCAGTTCACTGCAGGAATGTGGTCATATGGCCTCTGTGTGTGTGTGTGTGTGTGTGTTTGGTGTGTGTACGTGTTCCTACATAAAAGGATAACCCAATTAAGCTTACAGCCTTTTGTCAATAGCCTTCAAGAAACGCGTGCGGCTCTAATTCAGCCTGGGGAGGGGTTGTTGAGTAGAATAGGAGTGGCCCTACAGCATTAAGTGGTATGTTTTCTCACTCTCTTGCAGCAGTTGGTCAAAACCACGACACACACGCACTGGTTAATGCACTGATTCTCAAACTGGCTGCCTCTAGCGGTAGTCCGAGGAATTAAAACAAAAGTGAATTAGTTCAAAAACATACGTATAATGCTGTCAAAATGCTGCAGATATTCTTAATTTCCTGTAATATGTAGATTCAATATTAGCCATGCACGTAGTGCAGGCATACATCCATGATTAGCTGTGAGCTGAATGGTAAGACAGTCAGCGGAGGTAAGATGAATAGTTTAAAAACACTGCAATCGTGGCTCCGAACGGAAACTATTTAGGAGGAGAAGTGTGGACCAGACCTGGAAGCTCTGTCTGTTATATATACTGTCAGTGGTCATAATGTTGTTACTTGGACAGCCTCATATTTTCTGAGGTGGTACATGGTGCAAAAGGTTGTTCTTGATTTTCCTGGCTCATTTCTGTTCCTATAGCTGCTCTGTGGAGAAACCTTGAGCATCAGGGCTGAACCCTTCAGAGATGGCGTATGTGAAAAGAGAGAGCGAGCCTATCTTTATTATCAGACAGAAGTCCGTTTCCATACCCTCCCATCATCAGTATGAGGCAGCTGTAACTTGTCTGACCTACAAAACACTAACAAGTGCTGCTGTGTTTCAGTTTGTCCACTGTGTCAAGAGTCAGTGCTGTTACATCATACCTGCCTTTGTCACAACCACTGTCATGATGCATAGATTGAGATCCACACTCACTGATCTTTGTAGTAAAGATTTGTTTGATGTAATTATACAATGTAGCTGGGAGGGTGTCCCTTTATGAAACACTGTCCTGCTGCGCACACAGTGAATAGCAGGTATGGAGTAAAGTGGGAGGAGGGTGCATACGCATTGAAAAGAGACAACTGTTAACGTCAGTCTGATCACCTTGAACACTTGTGAAGAGCTGATTCTGCACAGTGTACAGTCTTTGTAAAGCAGCTGCTTCTCTTTTACCCAGTTCATCTTTCAAAGGGCTGCCTTAGCGCTGATAACAGTCTGGGAAAACCACGGTGCACTGCATTGTGGATGCTGACTGACTCGAGATGTCTCTTGCTGCCTGTCAGGTCTCTTAGAAACAGTATCTCTTGGCTTCTTGGAAAACAGCATATGGCCTACATTAGGCAGTAATATTAGAGCAGCGTTTGGCTCAAAAGGCTGCAAACATAATCAGGCGGTCAGGTTGATGTCCAAGCGTAGCTGCCAAAAGGGCTTTTTTGGCAGATAGTTTGATTAGCAAAGGAAGGCTGTGGAATTGATTGAGGTGCACATCCTGCATGTTTCTGCATTGCTTTTCTCACTGAAACTCTTTGACAACAGCATCCAGGGTGAGGAATGAATATAAGTCAGTGGTAGATAAATGGTGGTTAAGCAGGTCTGGTCTGTTAGACACTTGAGCGTGTCTTTTTTCATCATTCATTAAGAGAAGTCTCTTATTATTCTCTTTGGCTGCTTAATCAGTGAACATAGCTCGTTAAATCTCAGATGTGCCGGACTATTTCTAGGATGGGTAGTCGTCACTGCGAGGTTGCGAGGCAACCAGTGTAAGTCACTGCGCCCGGCTAAGAGATAGTTCAGAACATAACCGTTTTTACACCTCAGTTTTTGTACGGATCAAACAAATGGACAGAGCCAGGCAAGCTGTTTCTCCCTGTTTTGAGTATTTCTGCTAAGCTAACTAGCTTGACTTTCTCCTCTAACCCTGTGAATAAAAAAAAAGCAAATACCCAAAATGTTGAATTAGTCCTTTGAAATGAAGCAATGGCTAGTTGAGTGCCTTCTTCACCGGCTGTTATTTATATTTTTCACTATACAAATGAAAGTTTTCCGTTCCTTCGTGCGGCACACAAACACACAGGAAAACATAATTGTGGGATTTAGTGACATCTAGTGGTCAAGTTGCCGATTGCAGCCAACTGAACACCACTGGCGTCTGTAGTTGACGACCTGGGAATGAGAATGGGCTGTGAAGTGTGCAGGAGAAACTATGGTGGCTGCAAACCCTGCAAAAATGGCCTATCTAAAGCCAGACATAGCGGTTCAATATGGTGGAATAAAAACTTCACTCACTTTGATTACTTCTGGTTGGTATTATGCCTGTTTCTTTCAATTTTATGGCCGTAATGATTCATTAATCAGTTGGGCGAATGATCAACACAATAACCAATAAATAAAATCATTAATTGCTGCCCTAATGAGTTTTACTCCACATGTTGTTAACACAGTAGGAGCTGTGTATCGACTGCTTGGTTTAACCATTAGCCAGGCTCTAGACAAAGGAGCACTTCACTCTCTCCAAGTCCTCGTCTGAACTTGGAACAGCACTAGCTTGTCGCTTTTCTAAAAGAGGGCACTTGTTGTGAATGTGCTACAGTATTTCAGGAGAGAGTGCAGAATTGACAAATGCCTTCTTTAATTGAGCATGGGCACGGACTTGGTGTACTTGTTATTTTTGCTCCAAAGGATTTACAAAGCATTCAGAGTGTGCGTGTGATTGTGCACGCAGAAGATGCTGTTAATTGTGTTGTTACATTGTTCTGTGCATGTGATCATCCTTGTTAAGCCAAAGGCAGATTTACACTTCTGTGGACGATAAACTTCTATTCTTTGTGTAGGCGACGTGTGTGTGTGTGTGTGTGTGTGTGACTGCTCTTCCCGTCAAGGATAAGTGTACGAGGCAATGAAAGCAGATTTGGTTGAGGATAAAGATAGATGCAGAGAGAGATGGCTGATTACTTGCATTGAATACTGAGGCTCTCACTTTCTTTCATCTTTGTTACATACTCTCAATTTCTCTCACTCTCTTTATTTAACTCAACTCCACGGCTGCCTGCAGCTACTGGCCTCTTGCCACAGCAGAGGGCCGCCATAATAGGCCTCAGCAGTAACGCAGTCGGCGGGGGAATACTGTCGTGGTCAGATTGCAGCAACATCTGATCGCAGAGCAGAGCCACACTTCAGATTGTTGAGTATTTCCCTTGTAGAAATGTAACACTTGTAATGATCAAATGTATAGTAACAGCTTATTTCCAAAGTACTAAAC